GCGCGCCGGAAGGTGGCAGCTACTCGTGGATTGGCAGCAAATGCGTCAACACAATGCCACATGCCGCATGCCACCCAGCCAGTGGACAGCGCCATAAGCCAGGGCAATCGCCTGCCTAAGTAGTTGTTGTCTCAAATGTCTCGCGCTGCCATCGAAAAGTAGTTTGCGCGCAAATCCTCAACTTAGCAAAACTCCGGCTCCGGCCAGGACTCGACTCGACGCGACTTGGCCCGGGCACATTAAGTGCAGCGCCAACAGACAACAAAGTCGCCGGGAAGCAGCGCGGCAAAACTTTGCAAAGCCAGCGCCAAGTGCAGGGGGTTGGGGGCCATTCTCTGCCAGCGGATGATGGCCGGGGATCAACGTTTTACGTAGCAGCCATGGAGAACCGTAAAAAACTTTTGCAACAGACTACAGACAATGCGCGCGGGGCGGGGTCGACATCCAATGTGCAACTTTTTGGCGAGAAGTTCTTTTCATCGTGCCTGCGCCCTCTGACACTGACGGGGCTCCAAGGCCGCGGTGTCGGGGCTGGTAATGGGGGATTGGGAGCTGTCGCACATAATGCGCACAATGAAGTGCACTTTTCATACTCGAAAGAATTGAAAAGTTGTTTGCCACACGAACGCCTCAAACGAGCCAAACGAGCTGGCATACAGATGAGCCACAGAAATTCTTTGTATACCAATTGGTTCTCTTAAATAAATACACGATAAATAGATGCGCGATTGGACCAAGGAGATTTTCTCTAGAGTGAAATTTGATATGCATGATGTATAATGGAGAGCTTAAATGTAGTATATAAATATTTACAGTGAAAACCCTCTCGTATGGACAGCGACCGTCAGATAAACTTGAGAGGGCAAATGGGTTTACCGGATTTATATTAGCTTGACAGAAAATGTCCACCCAATGAGGGTGTCCGCATAGTGTCCATTTGGAGAGTTTTCACTATCGACATGAACTATGCTGCTTAAATATTAAACAAATCCCAATAATATCGCACAAATATACCACTTTAGGAAGAGTCGGGCGAAAAAATGAGTTTATGTTTAAGTAAACTTTCTGATCTTCAAAATTGAGCAATTACGAACTTGAAGAGTCTACTCGAACATCTGCATAGCATAGTATTCAATCTTCTGCGTGCCGAAGGAAGCCTTTCTTAATTATTTGTATTTTGCAAAAGTTAATGCTTAATAAAAAGTTGCTTAATAGTTTATTTTACGTTATTAATTTTCGTTTTAATCTTTGTTAAACATATTTTAAGAATATTATTAACTTTATTGTTATTAATTCAAGCTGTATGAATATTCCGATATTGAATTCAGTTTTATTCTCTGTCGATTTCGTTAAGCTTGGCTTGTCTTTACATAAGCCCAAAATTGAAAAACTCTTTTGCTTTCATTACATGAAGGCATCTCCCTCAATATTGTAGCCAATCACTTGCCCAGCTGCAGTGCAATCTGTGAGCACCAAAAACAAAACAACTCCAAAGTGCCCGAGTCTGTGGATATTTACACACATTTAGATAAGCAACGTGGCGCAACAAGGTCAAATATAAAATTCTTTTGTTTCTCAAATACATAAGCAGACAGTCGGAGCAGAGGATGCGATGGCAGCTTTTGCCGTTTGGATGCTTGGTTCAGGTTCTAGCCAAATGCCACTTGTTGCAACTATTTGTTGACTGTCGCTTAAATTTATGACCCAACGGCGAGCGACAAAGGCAGCAGCAGGCAGCGGCGGATAAGGGATGTGCTGGATGTGGCTGGGCATGTGGCAAGTGGCAGGCACAGGCCGCAAGTTAGTGCTGCTTATGAGCAAATTATCAAAAACCAACTTAAAACTTTGCCAACTCTCCAATATGGAGCATCAAAAAAACATTAACGCAGCCAGCACGAGAGCTGCCCAACTACCCAGATACCCAGCCAAAAGCAATGCCTGGGAAGCGCTGCACTTGGACTTGAACTTGGACTCTGGTCTGGGGCATGGACTGTTGCTGACTGTGCCTTTTCCGACTGCCTGCTTGTTTTCCCTTTTTTGTGCTCATGAGTTACAACTTAATTGAAATCGCGCTTTGTTGCAGCGACAATGCCTCGCACTGCCCCGCCTGGAGGGACGACCATGAATCGGAGCTCTCAGCTCTGAATTGTGAGCTCTTCTAGGACGCCAGTCACGATCGGCTCTCTTTAGTTATTTGCCTAATGCCCGCGTGAAATATGACGAGGCGTTAAGTAGTTACAAAGCAGCCACAGTGGAGTTGGCTTTGCTACAACTGGGAATAGTGGGAATCGAGAAAGATTATTACTATTATATAAAGAGTTGAAAACTTTTCCAAATCCGGATCTTTTATCTTTGAGTTACCTTAAGCCGAGTCGATCACTTAGACACGGCGGAACGAGATACGATACAATTGATGAGCATATAAAGTTGATGGACTTATTTTGATAAGTGTTTATATGGGAATATTTGCCTATCGATATATTGATATTATTCTTAGAGCAAGTAATCCCACTTGCTAACCGAACCAATAATTTATTTATTACATTACATTTTTCGTTGCTTATAATTCGCAAGTGGTTAAAGCTTAGGAATGGGCACAAGGGCTTGTAAATCTGGAGCCGGTAGCAAAGTCTGCTGTTGTCTATAAAGACAGCCTGCCTGCTTTTGTTGGTCCGTATCACCAGGATAAACCTCGAGCTGGTCGGCTTTTATTTAGTTTATTTTCAACAGGTCATTAGAAAACTTTTGTTATTGCTTCTAATATAGCTGAATTTCGATTAAGTTGTCAATCGTTTAAATCGAGCTAAGCTTTTTTTTTTGAATTTTCAACCCACTGTGGCGACTATTTTTATTGCTTGCACAAAAAGAAAAACTGAATGCAAAGCCTAAGCAAAAATAAACTCGTATGCATTTAATCATCGTAACTTAAGCTCGAGATCATGTTGTGCCACAGCCAGAGTGCTCCGACTCCGACTCCAACTCCGACACCGAGTCCCCAGGTCCAAGTCTTACTCTAACCACGGGCCGCACCCTCCGCGGGAGATGCCGTTCGAGCTCTGACTCTGGCTTCTTGTGCGCGCCCAAGACTCGGTTCTCAGCTTCGACTCGGCGGTTGGCTTTGTCTCTGTTTCTGTGTCGCTCCTTCATTTTTTAATAAAAAAAAAACTAAGAAGATGAAAAAGAAGAAAACTTCTTGTCACCGCAGCGGGCTGGTTGGCTTTGCTTTTTGTTGTAGGCGCACAATTTTTTTGCAGTCTTTTTTTAAATATTTTTTTGCACGCTGACACCGCCACAAGGGGGATGTGTAGGTGCAGGCGGCGGGATTAAGACGACGAAGTGTTTGGCCAGCTCCAATGCCGTCCGACGGACCCAGGTCGGACCCATTCATGGGGGAGCATGGCGCGCAGCGGCCGCGGCGTGTTCTGGAGATTAATAAATTGATGGCATCCATTGCACATAACGTGTAACTAATGGCGCTCATCAATTCTGCTTTACATCTCAATCTGGCTAAGGCAGAAAAATAAAAGAACACAAGCGACAGGAAAGAAAAAAGCTGAGCCTGAGCCCCGATGTGGGCAAACAACAACTCGGCGGCGATTTAGTAATGACCAACGACGAGGCCAGGATAAAGGGAAGTGCTTGGAGCCGAGCAGCACTTGAGCTCTCTCTTCACTTTCACCCGCTTGAAAATGAAATGAAACTTCTTGGCAGGTCCAGCTGGCTATAAATGTACCTCGCCCACTTATGCAACGCGGGCAACTGCTATCCAGCCCGGGCCGATCCCTATTTCTGTTTTCAATTCTGTCCCGGACTCACATGGGATGAGCCTTTTACGGAAATTGTCTGTGGATTAGTTACGCTCCGATTTTGCAACATTTCGCTTTCGTTTTCAAAACTATTGTCAATTTGCATTATTTAACAGACCGCCTTCTGTGATGAGTCGAAGTCGGACTCTGACCCACGTTTGTACCTCTTTCGACCTCTTTCACACTGCGTGACATTTGTCAGCAGCCCTTTGCGATATCCTGGCGTTTTTGCCAGTGCATTCATCGATTTCGTTTTCGGAAATTTGCAAAATTTGGCAAAATGTCAGGTATCGGTGCGGTGTATTTGTGCTCATTGCAGATGGATTACGCCTAATGCGACCGATTGGCCAAGGCAATAAAGTGAAATTACTCGGACGTGTCAAGGTCAGCAAATGCTTGGGTATTTGGATTTCGCCTGCAAATGTTGCAGGCAAATGGAAATATTTGATGGCAAACGGACGTTAAATTGAATTTTTAAATATTTTATATATTTAAAATTAAATATTGTAGGCTATCATTACTTTAATTTCTGGCTACTTTTTCTTTTTTATTTAATTAATTATATATCTATGTTAAAACAGACACTGCAACGATATTTAATTAGACAAGCATTTAATTTAATTTGCCTTTTGTTAAGATAAAGTCTATTTTAATTTTAATTAATGCTTGTAATAATATTCTGACAGTTTTAAGCCATTTCCTAGGCATATTAACTGTTTTTTAGAATATTTTTATCTCACTTTCTATCGATATTTTCATTTGAATTTAACGTTAAAGCAGTGCAGTTTAACGAAATGTCAAACACTGTTCACTGCTTGTTGAAGCAGTCACAACCTCTTCAGCAAGCAGTGCGCACAGTCAGAGTTAACGAAAAGATCGCCACAGCAACTGTCATTTAATGTTGCACGCCAGTTTCGACCAGTGTCATTGGTGTGTATCAAATGATAGAGCCTTTGGTAGGGGAAAAATAAATTCCTAAAATCTTATCATTTAAGTAAAGTGTGAAATATATTCAATTGTTTGTTGTTAATTATCAAAAATAGTTTAAAATGTTGTTGTTTTTGTTGTATGCAACTACTACGACTAGTTAAACTACATTCAATGACTAACTACAGCAACCCACTACTATAAGAAGAAGAAAAATTCCACTTAATACGTTTCGTGGAATTGTCGATCACTTTCCTTGACACTTACCAAACTGACTTCGCATCCAGGGATACAGTGGAGACGGCATCCCTGAGGATTGCGAACTCGGATTTTGGGATGGCGGTGTATGTTGTCCGGGATGTCCTTGATGCATCTGTGGGGGTCCCTGTCCAGCACCCGGATGCATCATCGCTTGCGGTGGTGCAACCACGGGCGGCACACCCGTCTGCTGTTGCCCGTACATGCCCATGTTGTGATGGTTCTGATGCACCTGCGAATGGATAAGCCCAAAAACTGTATAAGTATCGCTTGGCTTAAGAGTGGAAGTCAGCACCAAAAATTAGAAATAACTAAGCAAAAGCATAAAGAACTACACCGCATCCGGTTCTTACCTCTGTCACATCGGGAACGCCAACGTCAGTGTAGCCCAGCTGGAGAGCGGAGGCAGGAAAGATAGAAGAAGCGTTTAGTATGTTATAAGCGGGAGCCAAGATTAGGAAGTTATATGTTTTGGGGGTGAGAACGAATTACCCTCTATACCTATGGAGCCCATTAGCTTACCTGTGCCTGCGGATGACCCATGTGATGGGGCAGTGTCATCTGTGCATTCATGTGATGCCCGCCCATTTGGTCGACCAGCGGCGGGGAGCCTCCCTCTTGCACCATGCCCAGGCCGCCAACGGCCGCCTGCAGCTTGCAGCTGGCATAGACCACGGGCTGTTGCTGCTGCGGATGTGTCACCTGTTGCGTCACCTGAGGATGCTGCTGCTGCTGTAGCGGCGCCTGCTGCGCCTGCTGTTGCTGTGTTTGCGCCTGTTGCTGTTGCTGTGACTGCTGCTGTTGTTGAGCAACGGACACCAGCTGGCCATTTGTTTGCGCCTGCGGCATCACGCCACCCACCTGGCTGGAGGGGCTGTCGGGGCGCGAGTAGCCCTGGTGCTGCTGCTGCTGCTGTTCCATGCCCTGGCCATTGTAGTAGGGCATACGGTCATAGGGCGGGAAGCGCGGGTAGGGCATGTTGCCCTGCTGATTTGGATTCTGGCTATAGTGATGCATCTGCTGCGCATCGAGATCGGTGACGCCGTTGCCCGGATAGTGGCCATGGTGCATGTCCGCTCCCATATACGAGTTTGTGAAATATGACGTCATGCTTTCGCAGTTATTTGTACTCATCGTCATTTTTGTTCTTCTCCTTGTCTCCTGACTGTTACCGTTCCTTTAACTGTTACTTAAGCAGTTACTCCTACTGTTTCCGTTTCCGTTTCCGTTTCCGTTACTGTTAATTTTACTGTGGATAGCGCCTGGTTACTTAGTTGCTAGTGACTGTGACTCGACTCCGTGTGCTTTTAGCTACTTTCCTATATACAAAGTAAACTGCAAGGGCATTCATAAGTCGAATATTTTAACCAGAGCTATGCCAAGGACTCACCTAAATATCCTTTGAACACTTAAGTACAATGTACAGTTGCGCCTTAAACTTAGTTGTCTAGTTGTGTATGGGTGTGTGTGTGTGTAAGGGGTGCGCTTTTTGTGTGAGGTATAACTTGATTTGCGTTCTGCTGTTCCTCTGTTTGCTGTGCAGGCTCCTCTTGCCTCCTCTTAATTTGGTAGAAAATCCGTTGGTGTTGTAGTTGCTGTTGCCTAAATCCTTAAGTAGCCTTAACCTCTAGTTGGTATTTTCAATTTTGATTTTGAAACTCTGCAAATAAACAAATGAAAGAATTGTTGTTTTAGTGTTCGATTTACTCGTTGTTCTTCGCACAAAGTTTCTATTCAAAGTGCCGCTCGAAATTTGTCAGAAACATGTGCTTTGAGCTTGGAACAACATGTGCTATGCGCTCATTGGGCTCTGCCCTCTGATAAATTGTTTATGCCACGCTTTGGCGAGCTCTTGAAAAAGATCGGAGTTATCAGAATTGAGTAAGAGCGGGACATCAAAAGAGATAAATAGAGTTGGAGCGAAAGCTGGTCCAGGGCGAGACAAAGCAAGAGAGTAAGGAGGTAAAGAGACTGAAAGTGAGAGATGGTCGAGACAAAATTCAATGCGCACATTAACGTTATTTGAATATCGGTATTATTACGACATTTTATTATTAAACAACTTTTATGTAGTTTATACCTATAAATATACATATATATATATAATTTATTCTAAACATAAATCAAAAATACAGTTGAGTTTAGATCCTAAAACCAACTTATTTTTTCTGACTGAAAACTGTTAAATTAAAAAAAAAGTTGTGACAGTCAACAATCTTACTGAGTGTTGGGAAGCGCTTTCATATCAGTGTTGATTATAAATTAAAAAGGTTTTTAAAAAAAAAAATTGATCACTTAAAAGAACTTTAATTTAAGGCAAAGGAAAAAGAGTAAAAAAAAAACAGTTACTAGTTTTTGGTATTCGTGCTAATAAGTTTTTTAGAGCTATTGAGATTCTTTCGGCAGTCTAACTGTAATGTCATTCATTGGCTGGCTGACAAGCTGGCAACATTCGTTGAATTTATGAATATGAAATCAATTGTGTTATCCCCCCTTTGACCTGACATCCTTCCGGTCAAAGTGATTTAATTTCCTGGCTCATTATCACGAGTCTCTGACCTCATAAATCAAAACTCGAACAATGCAGACAGACAGAGACAGACACACACACACACACACACACACGCACACATATACACAGGCAGGCAGACAGATAGATAGAGACACACGTTACATGCCATGCATATATGCATGCAGCTAGCTCTCTCTCTGTCTCTCTCTCACTCTCTTTCCCACTCGCTCTCCCTCTTATGCTGATGGTGGTGACAGCCCTGCCGAAAAACTAACTAACGGTAACTTGTTGTCGGAAATGAAACTTTTGCAACTTTGCGAAATGGCCGAAACGCAAAACGGGAGAGAAAACGGTAAAACTTTAAAATATTTCAGCGACAAGCGATGCTTGCATATTTCTGCCTCCCTTCCCCCCTCGCTTGTGTAACGGCATTCCCCGGCGAATGTATTTGTATTGTCTGCTTCTGTTGCTCCTTCTGCTTCCCTTTCATTCTGCCATTCGCCCATTCTCCGCTGTTTCGCTTTTGTTAACGAAATAATTTCTTGCGCCGCAGCCGCCAAAGCCAAAGCTTCCCTTTCAATTACACATTTCCCGCTGACGGTGGCCGAGGAGGACGCGCTCGGCGCGCGAGGACAATGCCAGGCGGAAGGAAGCTGCGCAGGGCGCAAAGGGCAAACAGCCACCCAACTACGAACGGATACGGCCAAATCGGTGGCTCGCTCTGCCTATAGAGCTGCCCATAAGCGAGTATACGATATGTAGGTGGTTATCAGACATGTGATTCGGGAGGATGGGGAGCAGGAGGAGGGAGACGGCAGCCTTGGCCGTGACGGTTGGACGCGATGGACGCGAGGGCCTGGGGCTTGGGGCGAAGAAACTCAGTCAAGCACAAGCGAGATGATAATAATGTCTGATGTGTGTTTTGTGTGGAGATTGTTGTTGTTGTTGTTGTACTATGCCACTTATTGTTATTCCGCAAGTGGGAGTGAGTGTGTGTGTCTGTGTGTGTGTGTTTACTTTATGATTTATGTTTGTCTGATGTAATTTATTCAAGCAAACAAATGTTAAAATTTGATTTGCAATAAAAGATTTGCAACAGAGAATAAAAATACCCAGGAATACTGTAATTGTTTCTTGATTTTGAATTTGGATTGAAATAAATTATTGTATTAAAATTCAATTGAACTCATTTTCCAATTTATTTCATATAAAAATAAATTCTTTATTACATATTGAGCCTTTTGCATAGGCAACACAAATGCGGTTCGTGTGTGCATTTTTTATTGCATACTCTTGGGCATGTTCTTTTCTGCCCTCTAGCGGTCGAACGTTGTAGCTGCTTAGGCCAACATTGACAGATGTCGCTTTTAGTTGACTGACATGTGGCGCCCTCTTTCATATAATGAATGAAATGTGGCGGGTGACAGTCAGCTGAGTGCGATGTTAATGGAGCGAAAGAAGAGGATGCCAACACATGTTTGTTTAATTAAATTAATTTAAGAATTAATATTGTCAGTCCATTATTTCAAATAGTGACAACGTTTTTTTTCACTGCAATCTGAGTGAGAAATTTCATTGCATATTCAAGAAGAATACTATATAAGCCTTGCAATATTAACACAAAAATTAGATGAAAAGGAACTTTTACTGTTTACTTCGCGATCGCCAAAACGTTACATTAAGAAATTCAATAAAGCATATACAAATGTATAGTAGACTTTATACAGAAGTTATTTATGAGATACTTTTCCAAAGTGCGAAGAGCAAATGAAATGAACCTATGTTAAATACACACAGCGTGGACCAATATGTCTGGCTTTTTGCTTGGTTTATTTGTATTTCATAATATCTTACTAATCCGTTCAAAAGTTATCAGCAGTTTTTACAAGCTGCTAACCACTGTGCAATCGCTCATGCAATTAGCCAAGACAGCAACCATAGTTTCAAGCCCAGCCCACTTTCGCACACATAAACCCACTCACACAAGTAAACGTGATTGCGCATGACATATGGGCAGTCCCGTTACCTGTTTAAGTTGTCAACGACAACGGTAGCCCCCCTACAGCTGATTTGAGACCTGAACAAACGAACAACAACGGCAACAACAAGAACAGCAGCAGCGTAACGCAGCACACATATGGCGACCAATCCATCAAAGGCGACAAACAACAACAATAACAAGAGCTCAGCAATGCAGTTAATCAGCACACACACACACGCATGTAAGCACGTGCAGACACAGGCATCAACACGATGCCGAAACCGATTCACTCACACGCATGCGCTTTCGCATGATGGAATGGAATGAAAATGAATGATTTCATTCTTCAGCCATCAGCTGCAGCCATTTTGATTTACGATTGCGTCGGTGTCGGTGTCGCCGTCGCCGTCGGTGTCGCCGTCGGCGTCGCCGTCGCTGCCTCTTCTTCATAGTTTTGCATAGCGGCCATGCGAAGGCGTCGCCCGTCAACGTTAGCCTTTGTTATTCGCTGCTGTTGTTGTTGTTGTTGTTGTTGTTGTCGGCATCTTCAGAGAGATAGAGAGAGACAGAGAGAGAGGGCTGCCATGATTCAAGGTAACGGTTAACTCACAAAAGGTAGTTAGTGAGAGTTACCCAAGGAAAATGAAGCCAGCAACGAGTATAGGAGAAAGGGGAGATGAGACGTACCCGGAGGTCTCTCAATTAAGCCAAACTGAATGCGTTCTGCTCGGCTGCGCTAGTTGCTTAAGTAACTATTTAGCATTTTATTTAAATAATAACTAATTGGCTTGACTAACTAATGCAGAGCTTTGGAAAAGATCCTCCACGATTACGGATTAGAACGTTAACTCTCTGTTGAGCAGATGTATGGGCAGATAGGCAGGGGTATCTCGAATCTGAATGGAAAGGGTTTTTTTAAAATAATAACATAATAATATAATAATAATATTAATGTGAATTAATGCATATATATATTTACTAAAATCTTTCAATGTTTTATTATGAAATAATTACATTTATTTGTTATTAATAAAGGGATGTAAGATATTCACAAAATAGCCAGGGCAAATTTCTTGAGAATGAAGAAGAAACAGACAAGTCCAAACTGTGACATAAATTAAGACATAGGTAGAACAGGCAGGTAAAATCATGAAAAATGAGTAGAAGCGACAAATAGTGCGAACTATTGTGTTACCGGTATATCAGTTATTACAAAACAACAGAACTACATTTTAAAGATAAATATACATACATGTGCTTCAAAAACATATATGAAAATCGCAAAGAAGGCGCTCTGCTCACAAGCAGAAAAAATAGTTTCAAAGTCAGATGTACAAACAATTTATTTGCCATCCTTCTTTCTATTTACACGTAAAAAATGTTACAATCATAATAAACATATTTTTCGCTTTAAAAAATATTCACAATACATTTCAGTGCTGATTTCCTTTAAAATTAACACATCTTTAGGGTTGACCCAACATTTATCTTAACTATCAATAAACGCTAAGCAAATGTCCTTGAAATATTGCCCAAATGTTAGCAGAGACAAACAACTTGTAAGTAGTTAAATAAGAGGACATAAAAAACAGAAACTGGCAATTTGAAGCACGTGCTCAGGCCGAATGCCAGAAGAGTTTATTGTGCCATCAGCTAAAGGAGCAAATAAAATTTTATTACCACTATAAATTTCAGCACTTGAAGCGGACCAAACGCAGACGCAGCAGACGCGTCGGCAGGTTCCTCTCCTGGCCTGGTCTGGTCTGGTTTCGTCTGGTGCTGAGGATAAGCCCACGCGATTTAGCGACGGTGTTGCATAAAGACGAACGAACGTAAGAGGCAAACGGCGATCAAGACGGAAGTGGCAGGGCTCAAGCTGGGCAGGGGCAAGGGGGAGTTGAGAACTGGACGCAGCGAGGCCTCTGCATTTTTCTCACATTTATCTTTTTTCGAGTGCTGCG